AGATGGAATTATATCATAAAGGATTAGATCATCGAGCATGATACACATACTAATGGTATGCTGACTTTCGATTCAAAATTCGTCCAAACCGCGCATGACACTTTTCAATTAAATGGTGTAAAATAATTTAATAATTTATTCAACATATTTTCGAAAAGAAATTTCATCAACAATTAGTGACAAAATGATGGGGGTCTTTGAATTTGTTACATATTTTTTTAGTGTACTAAGAGATTCTTTACTGAAGCCTGGCTCAGCATTGATATTTTGAAACCATTTACCTATAGTACTACGGTGAGGTAAGCAAGTATCAAATGCTTGCCTAACATAATCATAGCCCTTAGGTGAAAAAAACTTAAAGTTATAGCAAACTTACGCGAATCAGATGAATATTTACTTTTTTTTTTAATTTCTGCTTTTGCAATTCCTTAACAATATTAGGCATATTGTCAAACACTAGCATATTTTCAGAGGAAATGAAATTGTTCTTATTTAACTCTTTAACAAGAAGTTTTAGCGAAACAACTTTTTTTATATCTTTGAAGTTTTTGTAACTTTAATTTGTCTTGTTTTTACTTTATTCTTTTCTACCTCTTGTAAAAGTTGTCTTCTAAGCCGTTTTAGGCGTTTAGGACTTTCTAGGATAGATTCCTTGTTTTCAGTTGTATTTGAAGGGCCTGGCTCAACTTCCAAATGTAATGCTCTTCTTTTTAAGTCCTGCAAACAATCAATTATTACGGTAATGAGTTGAATTTTACACAAAAGAGTTACTAAATTCTTAAAAGTGCATAACAATAATGAAAAGTAATTAAAAATATATATGTTTAATTATGTTTATTAGTATACGCACCTTCTTCGGCTGCATGTATTTAGGGAATTCAGGAAATATAGTTGGAACTGCTGCATTAAGTAAACGTCTTTTATAGGTCTCATAAAAAAATGTCTTTCAAAATGTTTTGAACACAATCTATCATTTTGCTTAGGCGTCCAATTTGCAATTTTCGTTGCCTGAATCCAAAGATTTTTTTGCTGAATCTAAAGGAAATCTAAAATAAAACAACAAATAAACATTGCTGCAATAAATGGTAATATTTAAAATTGTACATCACGCCACTGGAAAAAATTACTTGTTCGGCAATTTTAATATCATTAATTGCTTAAATATCAAATAAAAGCATAAAATAAACAAACTTGGTGGGTAAAATTAATTACTTTGGAGTGAGATATGTACAATATGTAAACACCAAGTTGTATAACATCAAATAATATGAAAAATATAAGAAAATATTTAAAGTAAAAACGATTGATGTTTATCATTTACCTGTGAAACGTAATATCTGCTTCTTTCTTGCCGCTTTAACTTTTACTTTGATATGCCACACAATAAACCTTTGTAAAAAACCAATTAATAACTGTCGTTTAATTTAAAAATCAGAAATAAACATGAACAAAAACTTTGGTGTCACCGAAATGATTAGCACCAAAATAATGGCGGCCACTAGATAATGGGCACAGAATACTACGTGTGCTCGATATACTTGTTACGCGTCCTCTCTTTATTACCTAGTCTAAGATATATAGTTATACAGATTGCTTAAAGCAGGTCGTTTGCGAGTAGCCATATTGCCTGGCAAGTATTCATTAATATGAATCCGTTTAGGAAAAATGTGTTTTGAAACCAATTTCCAGCCTTTGAATATTTAACTTCAAGGCATAAGCTTATGTTTATTTTGAAAAACATGGATGATCAATCTATATAACTGCCTATATCATTGACCCTATCAAACCACCAGACCACAGTGTTGCCATATTATAACCTTTTAGTGGCCTGTCATTTTAAATGGGCAGCCATTTTGTTTTGAATGCTTAATACATTGGAAAATGGTGTGAAGAAATTAATATTATACACTGGCCAGCAAAATTAACGCACCACTAAATTATTTCGAATTATTTTTGGAAATTCATATAAAAATAAAAATATTTATTTTTATTTTAAACTGCCATAGTACACACATTCCAAACTTATACAGTCGGTTTATTTTTAACGAAGTCTATTTACCTTATCTTTATTTTGTTGGAATTCAGATAAAATTTAAACATATGTACCTCTTTTTCTTTAGGTTTTATTGCTAAAATTTATCATTTGCACTGAAAATTTACATTTGTGAGGTACAGTGAAGTAAAGTGTTTATTATGGAACGCCAATCTAGAAATTTGACCGCCGAAGAGTATGCTCAGGTAGTCATTTTACTGGAAGAGGGATGGAGCTTTCGCAGAATTGGACAGAGATTTGGTGTATCGCATACATCCGTTTTCCGTATGATTGAACGTTATAGGGAGACAGGTCAGTACTTAAGAAGACAAAGTCAAGGCAGACATCGCATAACTACGCAAGTTCAAGATCATTGTTTAAAACAACGGTTTGTGACAGGAAGATTGCTGCAGACACTGCTACAGGAAGCAGATGGACTCAGAATTTCAACTGATACTGTTCGTCGACGCCTAGCTGAATCTGATCTGAGACCAAGAATCCCAGCGCGAGGACCAGCTTTGACCCCAGAGCATCGTAGAGCAAGGTTAAATTTTGTTAGAGTACACATCGATTGGGCTGATAAAGATTGGGAAAGAGTTCTTTGGTCATATGAAAGCAGATTTTGTCTCTACAACTCAGATACACGTATAAGAGTTTATCGAAGACCAAATGAAAGATATGCCCAATGTAACTTCCAAAACACCAGATTATTTGGTGGAGGATCAGTTATGTTTTAGTGAGGAATCCCTTTAACTGCTCGTACTGCCTTGGTGGTTATTAATAATGGCAGTTTAACAGCAGACATGTACATAAGGGATATTCTGCAAGAACATGTGATATTGCTAGACCACATGTTGCTCAGATTGTGGAAAATTATTTTATTGAGGTTGGAATTGTAACTATGGATTGGCCAGCAAACAATCCTGATCTTAACCCAATTGAGAATGTTTGGAACATGATCTATCGCCATTTTTAAGAACTTCCTAACACTTTGAATAGGCTTACTGGAGATATTGTACAAATATTTAAAAACTTGGATGAAAACGAGATAAGAAACCTAATTTTAAGCATGAATAAATCGCTCCCGAGCTGTTATTCAAAATAGAGAAGGAAATATCAGTTAAAAATTATGTTTAACTAAAGTTAAGAATTTTTTTATTTTTTGAATTTTCTTGTTTGTTTTTCTTTAGTTTTTTTCTTACCTTCTCTTGGAATTTTATCTTTTGTTAATACCCTTATTAAGTTAGAATAAGAATATACTTAATTAAGACAAAAATATTTTTCTAAATATAGTAGTGGTGCGTTAGTTTTGCTGGCCAGTGTATAAAGTCTAGAAGTATAGACTTTTTTCTTAATAATCATATCATGATTTCCAATAAATTAGGACAATCAAGAAGATGCCTATTATCTCAACGTCTAGAGTTTAAATCACCTCCAATAATAGCAATAGTGTCAGGATAGGCCTAAGATATGTTAATTAAAAGACATTGAAATATTTCCAAAATATGAGAAATAACTAAAGTAGGATTTTCTCAGCTATGAAATACGAGTTGAAGACTGAAAAACTTTCAAGTAACAGAAGAAAGCTTCAAGAATGTCAATTTGATCATACCAGTATAACCCTAATAGTTTCATTTTAATATTAATAGTTAATGCCTATAAAAAATAATACAAAATTATTCAATTGAATGTTTATCAAATACAAAATTGAAATTGTTTTAACATAAATTGAATAAGGGTTTGTTCAAAATTTGTTCTGTGGTAATCAATCGGTAATGTTAAATATAAAAATAAAAGATACATAAAATAAGTATCAAGCACCCGTATTTGACATACAGTATACTGGAGAACAAACAGACTGATGAATTTCCACCACGACACAAGTTAGTAATTATTATCAGTGCTCAATTTTTTTTGTACTTCAGAATGTTTGATTATAAAAAACCAGTGGCGTAGCAATATAAAAAGTTGTAATTTGGTTTATAGTCGGCGATATTTTTGCATTTTGTCGTTTGTGTGGTATTTGAAATTAATAATTTACTTTTTATTATATTATTTTGAATTTATGGAGGGTAAATAATATTTATTTGTAATTATACTTTGGAGGCCCTGAGAGAGTGAAAATAAAGCTGATAATTGCGGGCAGATGGAAAAGTTACAGAAGGGTATTTATAATTAAATGAATCAAGGAGTTTCAAAAATATTTTTCAGCGTATATTTCAAAGTGCGCCTAGTTTTTGAGGTCTTATAATATTCGCTGTTGCTAGGTACACGCTAAAGTGTACACGAATCAAAAAATTATATACACGCGAAACGTCATATTGCTGTGGTGGGAGGTGTTTGTGTAAATACGTGTTGTTTGTTTTCATTTACGCCGTGTCTAGCACCTAGCAGTAGTATTTTATAAACCTTAGAAGCAAATTTCACATACATGAACAAATAATAATAATGCCGTAACAACAAGAAAATGAAGCAACGAATTCTCGTAGGGTGGCGGCTTGGCCGCCACCATTAAATTTCAATCCATACCTGGCTACGCCAACTGGCATGGACACAGCTCACCTACTCTGTCGCGTGTATATAACTTTTTGAATTGCGTACAAGTTAGCGTGTACCTAGACACTGTGTATAATATTAGATACAGTCTCCTCTGCAAAACTTATTTATTTTTTAGATAAAGCAGATTTTTATATTATTTACAATTTGTTTATTTTTGTCGGAAGAAATAAATACATTTTTCATGTATGACTTTTGACACCTTAATAATTTTGAAAAAGAGTAATTTATTTAAAATCCATGATTAAAGATTATTTTGAAAGGTATTACGATATTTAAATTCATATTAGATCAACTTTACAGAGGATTCTGTTTTAAATATATTGAAGGACCAACAAATAATCCTACCATAATATCTTTAAATGTAATTTACAAAATGTCAATTTTGATATTTGATTTTATTAATTTTCAGGATGCCAGACCTTAAGAATGGCGGCTTCGAGAAGGGCTAAAGCTCTAGGAGTCGAGCCCAGGAACGTCCGAATGCCGAGATGCAACAAAATGGGCTCTTTTGAACCAATTCAGTGCGACAACGAAATCGTTAGCTCTTGCTGGTGCGTGGACGAGGCAGGATTCGAGTTGGCAGGAACCAGAGCTCCTGCGGCTGCGTTAGTGAACTGCACAGGTAGATAGATTTTTTAAATACCGTAAAAATAGTAATTTTATCAGAATCAAAAATAATAAACTAACGAGTAAACTAGAAAATATCATTTCGAACGAAATAGTAGGTTAGGTTAGATTATACACAGCTCTACAAAAAAAAATTGTTGTTGCCCTGGATATTTTGGCAAATTTTTATGTTTTCAAGTTCTTGTTTTTTATGATTTTTACATATCTTATATTTTGAACACTTATCGACTTGTTAGTAATAAAATTTATTTTCCCAGTCATGATTAGGCTTTTACGCGTGATCCCTACTCTCAGGTCCCTTGCTTCGCAGAACAACTGAAATCTCAGTTGTTTGATAATATTGAAGTACTTACACGTGAATCTGGATAAGTTGTCATGTGTTAATATTTTGTTCCAATTACTGAATGTGCACTCTAATATATTCCATTGGTGTTTTACATTTTATAAAGGCAACACGTACTCCAAATCGCTCTGTAAATTACCGTTTATTTTTGTGTAGTTATACAAGTTTTAAATTAGCGAATTACTCTGCAAGAAAGTGACTTTTATTTACAATAAGTTAGACTTTTTAAATTTGTGTTGTGCTTTTTTTGTGAAATCCAGTTTTAATCGATCTCTGTTTTTCAACTGGTAAGGTATAAATTCTTTATATTTGTCATGCCCAGCATTTGCGCGAATTGTTCCAAATCAGTGTCGGATCGCGACAAAAGCAACCTACAGTGCGATGGATGCAAGAAACACACGTTGGCTGTACCGAGTTATCGACTGACGATCGCGTCACTCGAAATAAAGTACGAGGAATTAAAATTGTCTGCAATAACTGTAGTTCAGATTTCGATAAATTTGGCGACATAAAAGCTCTCTTCGAGTCATTTAAACTAGACTTGCAATCAAAAATTGAGTTATTAGACTCCAAGCTTACCGCTGTTCAGGACAAATTAAACAAGGTTGATGAAGTAACATCAGTAAATTTTTTTGATAAACTGGCAAATGAAGCGGTCGATCGTCTTAAAAGGGCCAATAATATAATAATTCGTGGCATTTCCGAGATTAACGGAAATTTCGAGGAAAAAAAGAGACACGACTCCACAGAAATTAATAATGCACTGAAGGCAGTGAATTCTTCCGAACAACCTATTACTTTTTTCCGCGTTGGAAAAGCTGAACAAAATAGTCGCTATCCACGATGGCTCAAAGTAATTATGCCCTCCGAACACGCCGCCAAAAACGTTCTACGAAACAAAAAGAAAGTCTTAGAAATAGCAACATTGAAGAACATTACCATTATCGACGACAAAACCCCTACCCAACAACAGATTCTTCAAAACTTAAGAGATGAATTAGAAGCTAAAAAACGGAATGGCGAAAATGACCTAACAATTAAATATCATAACGGGATTCCAAAAATTGTGAAGATAAATCCCTTTCAATCCCGCTAGCCGACAACCTCCACAATTTAACGATTGGACCCTTATGTATACTAACCTGGATTCTCTAACTGCTAAATTTAATAGTTTTTTGTGCTCAGTGCAACATTTTTCTCCCAGCATTATTCTAATTTCTGAAACTTGGCTCAAGTTGTCTATTCCCGATTCACTTATTAACATTCCCGGTTTTACAATTTACAGAAGCGACCGTGCAAATAATGTTGGTGGAGGGGTCTGCATCTACTTAGCGTCATTCATCACTTCAACCTACTCTGTCACCGCCTTAGATATCAACATTCCCAATATAGATTTAATTTCGTTAAAACTATCATACAAATCTTTCTCAACCACTCTGATATGTTTATATCGTCCTCCAAAGAAAACTTCTCTAGAAAACGACCAACAGCTTTTTGAGGTTCTTTCAAATCTATCTATTTCCCATGACAATCTTGTGGTGGTTGGGGATTTCAACTATCCAGAAATTTCCTGGCCCCTTACTGCAGGTCTTGAAGTATCGCAAAACTCTGTTTCACACTTCATAAATTTTATTGTAGACTCAAATCTTGAACAACTTATAAACGAACCTACCCGCTTTCGCTTAAATCAAGAACCTTCAACTCTGGACCTTATATTAACAAATGACGACCAACTTCTAATTTCTCCATCTGTCCACTCACCTATTGGGAAATCTGACCATGGCGTTATTATATTTAACATGCAATTTAACATAGAAACCCCTAATTCCGATAGGGACGTAACCTATAGTGTCACAAACTTTAATAACGTAAAGAGAGTCCTCTCCGAAATTGATTGGGATCACTTTTTTAGAAGTACTGTATTAGTAGAAGATATGTGGACACTATTTCATACAAAAATATCTGAAATTGTAAAGGCTAACACAAAAAACAAAAAATGTCCTCAGAACAAATTAAAACTCTGGATCAATGGACAACTTTTAACTTTAATTAAACATAAGAAAAATATGTGGAAAAAATTTAAAGCTACCAAAAGACATGATGATTTTGTTAACCATCGACGTTTCGCAAACGATTTAATCAATATTATTGATAACGCAAGAAGAGAATACGAAGAATATATCGCTAGTAGCGATAACCCTAAGAAGCTATTTAAACACATAAGATGCTCTCTATCTTCTAAAGTATCAGTACCACTTCTTAAAAAAACGGATGGAAACTTATGTAATAATGATCAAGAAACAGCTGAAGCTCTGGCCAACCATTTTTCACAAGTATTTTCCTTAGAACCCACAGGCGACATTCCAGTTAGTCACGATGCCCGAACAGCAACTTCTTTATGTAATGTCGAGTTCTCATCTGCAATTGATAATGAAAATCTCAAAAAAATCAAATCAAATTCCTCACCTGGAATAGACAATTTATCCGCAATGCTTTTAAAAGAATGCGCATCATATTTGGCTTTACCTCTAGCCATTATTATGACATCTTCTTTTACATCTCACACACTTCCTTCAATGTGGAAAATTGCTTCGGTGACACCTATTTTTAAAAAGGGTGACAAACTCAGTCCATCCAACTATCGTCCAATAAGCCACGTCCCAATCGCTTGTAAAATAATGGAATCCATCTTAACCAATTATATGTCTGATTTTTTTAAGAGCTATGACGTCTTGCCAAAAGAACAACACGGTTTTATTAAAGGCCGATCCACATTAACAAACCTAATGACCTGTTTAAACGATTGGACTACGTCTGTGGACAATAAAGAGCCTGTCGATGTCGTATATCTTGATTTCGCTAAAGCCTTTGATCGTGTTCCCAAAAAGAGATTGCTTTATAAATTGGAAAAAGCTGGCATTCGCGGCTTTTTACTTCTCTGGATAAGTGATTTTTTGTCAAATCGCATCTTCAAGGTAAAAGTTGGACAGATGTTCTCGTCAGAGTATCCAGTTCTAAGTGGTGTCCCTCAAGGCTCTGTCATAGGGCCATTACTATTCCTGGTATACGCTGCAAATCTAGGCAAAGACTTAAATTCTAATATTTCGTGTTACGCTGATGACACTAAGCTATACTGTAATCCTGTGACAGATTCTACCCAGCTACAAAAAGACCTTGAAACTATTTCAAACTGATGTGACACCTGGCTGCTTCCTTTAAACGCGGAAAAATGTGTCGTCCTGCATATAGGAAAAAATAACCTGTGCGTGAACTATTATTTAAACGGTAGTGCGTTAGCAACTGTGAACTCCTATAACGACCTGGGACTCATTGTAAACTCTTCATTAACGTGGTCAGAACACATATCAGCGGTATGTAAACGTTCGAACTCAATGATCTACCTATTAAAAAAGTCCTTTACGCGTGTGAACTTTCAAACATTTTCTAAACTTTATACAACTTACGTTAGACCGTTGATGGAATATGTCGGACCTGCGTGGTGTCCTGATTTGGTTTCTGATCAAAAAAGATTGGAAAATGTTCAACGCTACGCTACTCGAATACCTTTCGGCAGAATCAGACCATCGTATGAAGAACGGCTTAACATGGCGAATTTGTGTTCATTTGCCCACAGAAGATTAAGGGGTGATTTAATTGTGACATACAGAATTCTTCATGGTACTTTTTCATCAAACCTCTATAGTATACTCCCACGGAATACAGATGAGCGCCTCCGTGGACATGAATACAAGTTGAGCAAAGAATATTTTAAAACACGTACCCGAGAAAACTTTTTTTGTAATAGAGTTTTTTATACTTGGAATAATTTACCCTCGAGTGTTGTTCGCGCACAGTCAGTAAATGTATTCAAAAACCGACTCGATGACTTTTTTAACGAAAACTAAAAGTTTATTTTTAGTGCTTTGTTTGCATTATGTTATTTGCTAATTACTTATTTAATAATTGTCTTTGTTATTGAACTTGTAATTTTGGGCTTAATAGGATTCATTCCTCAGCCCTAATTAGTTTGTAATAATAATAATAATAATATTGGTCTTGTCTTTTAAAACATGAGTTCGTCACGAAGAAAGTGTAAATATAGTAGTGATTTATTTTGTTATATTTGCGGTGTTTATATAACAAAAAAACAAAAAAGAAATATTACATACAGACTTTGTCAAGGAGACTTATTTCGGTTTTGAAATGGACAAACTAGATAAATCATGGGTTCCTCATAAAGTTTGTAAGTCCTGTGTTGAGTCTTTACGGTTGTGGAAAAAAGGAGAATGTTCTGGATTAGGCTTTGGTATTCCTATGATCTGGAAGGAGCCTAAGAATAATTTCGATGATTGTTACTTTTGCGTAGTAGATGCTAAAGGTTTTAATCGAAATCAAACGTGGAGATATCCAGACTTACAGTACAAAACATCATGTTTTCTACAATGGTCTAAGTCAGCTGATAAGACTCTGAACATACCTATCTATAAACAATCATGGTCCTAGGAGCTTATTTAATTTTTGACGAATATAGACCGGTTCGCAAATTTATGTACCATAGGTATATTTCATTTTACTAGTCAAATAAAAATATCAAATCAAACTTAATCATCCTGTATATGTAGGAATACAAGCATCAGTAATAACTTAATAAA